TCTCATTGTTTTGTCTCATGGTGTACTACCGTCACTTGCCATAACCCCGGATCTTGGCCCCTGAATCAAGAAAGTCAAGGCACTACGGAGGCACGGAGATACGAAGAGAAGGCGGGCGGGGGGACTCAGATCTTGACCAGATTTACTCAAGTTCAAAGCCCCGAGAGGCTGGGGAAGAGGAGATTGAGGGCCGAACAGGTGGTCAACACTGAGCAGAAGGAGAAGATGTTCCTGGACTGCGGCCGGTTACCTTGACTCTCCTTAATTTCGGTCTCTTAAATCAACTTGGCACGAGAATGTCTATAAATCAGCCGAGCCGTCTAATGATGGTGTTCGCTCTGTTTCTCGCGTCTCCCCTTCCCCGTTTCTCCCGTTATCTAAACACAGTCTTTCGTTATTTTGACCATCTGTTACTTGCTGTTGCTTGACGACACCTCAGCCATGCGTACTGCGTCCGTTGCAGGCTTGGTACTAGCCAGCCTAACCAGGCTCGCTAGTACGCAAGATCTTTTGTTCCACGAGGACATGCTCTACAAGGAGTATGATGAGGCTACCAAGGTGTTGGGATTCACCAGTATGTGTATAACTCCCTTGTATGATACTCTGCCTGACAAGTCTACAGCCCATGTTGCTACGGATGCCGAGTGGAGGTCCTACACGACCGCCGACTTTGCCAAGTTCAAAGCCATCATCATGCCGGATCCCGATTGCGGGACCATAGACAAGATCAAGTTCCTTGAGGACACGAAGGACGTCTGGTCTCCGGCTGTCAAGGGCAAGATGATCATCATTGGCACAGACCCAACCTATCACTCGGCCACTCGTGTGGGAGCCATCAATCTCATTGATGATGGCGTCAAGTTTGCGGCTTCGGATCCGGAAGGCGAGACGGGACTGTACTTCTCTCTCTCATGCTACTATGACACTACCGATATCACCACGATCAATGCCCTGTCCAACTTTGGCACCTTCTACGTCCGGGGAAAACTGGCTTGCTACAATGACGCCCATCTTGTGGCGACAGCTGCTTCCCTAAACACGGTTGACGACTCCAAGCTCGGCAATTGGTCCTGCAGTGTGCACGAGGTCTTTACTGAGTATCCCAGGAATGGTGTGACCCCGGGAGCTGACGGATTCGTACCTCTTGCCATTGCCTTGAACGCCACCGGTGACGGACAGGAGACCTTCGGAGACGGAACTTCGGGTATACCGTACGTCATCGCACGAGGAGCGACTCCTCTTGGTTGCGGCAACGAGAAGTTCGAGCCCGATGTTGGAGAAGAATGCGACAACGGACCGGCCAACGGCACGCCGGGCAACCCGTGCTCTGAAGCATGCAAGTGTCTAGTGGGAGTTCCAACGGGCGGAGTATGCTTGACGTCCAACACCACGTCGACTTCTTCCTCGCTCAGCCCCACGAGCTCAGACACCTTCAACTCAAGGTTGGTCCTCAAGGTCGTCTTCACTCCTTTCTTTGCTGACCTGACGTGCATTGTCTGTAGTACTGCTCTACCGACCCCACCTGCCAACTCGACGCTCGCGTCATCGAGCATTACGCCGACCGACTCTGGAGCGTCCACTGCTTACACTACCACCTCAAGTGAGCCCGACTCACCCACGTCTATGCCATCGATGTCGATGCCACCGGACGTTGTGACTGTCACACCTGGATCTGGTGCCTCCAGTTCGCCTGGCCTATCCTCCCCTTCCCCATCATCAATTGCTCCCAACTCAAGTGTGCCCGCTGGCGGTCCGCCTCCCCCCATCACCGTTGTCACCAGTATCGGTGGTTCCAGCGCTGCTTCTCCTCTTCCGTCCTCGGGCGAGCCTTCAGTGTCCGGTCCAATTCCCCCTGTTACACTAATCACCACTCCGGGGGCTCCTAATGCTACCGTGTCGCCATCCGGGCCTCCATCTCCTGGAACCCCTGCTCCACCCATCACTATTGTCACCACCATCGCAAGCCCCGGAGGTACTGAGCCACCTCGAGTTACTACCATTGTTGTCACCCCTGGAGCCCCCAGTGCCAGCGTTCCTCCTACTACCCCTGAGCCTTCCAGTGTTCCTGGCTCAGAAACAACCAACGTGATTTCGGTGATAGTATCTGCTCCAGGTGTCAGTGGGACTCCCTCATTAGGCGAGCCTTCTGTAGTCACAAGTGCTATCACGATTGGGGCGCCGTCTGGAACTACTCCAGCTGGATCGGGGTCGTCTTTGGGATCTGATACTCCAACCTCAGCATCGCCTTCCTTTGTCACAGTTGCCACCTCAGCCGGTGCTCCTGGGTCGGCTTCCTCAGCACTATCCTCGAGTCCTGGGGGATCCGGATCATCTGCTGCGCCAGGAAGTGATGACCCGCCACCAGCATCAAATAGCGCTCCTGCATCTGTTGAGACATCAGTTGTTACTGCCACTCCCTCCGCTGGTTCTGGGTCGTCTAATCCGCTTCCCAATACATCGCCGGCGATAACACCGACAACCGTGAGGTACTCGACGATAACTATTGTACAAACTATCGGTGGTACGGCTGGCGTGCCTATCTCCGTTACGACCTTGGTCAGCACCGTCGCGATTGATGCTTCTGGTGTTCCCATTGCTTCCGTAGCTCCATCGGGTGCACCATCAGCCTCTGTTCCTGCAGCTCCTTCAGCCGGGCTTCCAACTTCTAACGGGTCAGGTTCATTGGTAACATCGGTCCTTACCGCACCTCACTCAGGTTCTGCCGGCTCCGGCTCCGCCTCCGCAGGTTTACCAACAGGCTCCGGTACTGTAGGCTTGCCCACAGGCTCTGGTTCTAGCTCGCCTGTAGCTTCAGGCTCTGTTCTTCCCACTTCAGGCTCAGTAGGTACTGGCGGTCCAAGTGCTGGTAACCCTGGTGGTAGTGCTGCGAATCCATCCGCCACGGGCGGTGCCAGTGGCTCCACGTCTACTGGCCCCATTGACACTGCCGGCCCGGGAGCAAGCGGACCAGGAGCTTCTAGTTCGACCGATGCTAGAGCTTCGCCCGCAAACTCTAACCCATCCACTGTTGATTCCGCCTCCGACGTTCTCGCCACAACTTTACCAACCAATCCTCATGCGCCCACTTCGCTGTCCGGCCCCGGCTCGCCGGGCTCATACTCATTCGGCATTTCTGCCTCCAGCTATATTCCGCCGAGGAACGCGACTGCTAGCAACAACCTTCCCACCGTTGTCCTTTCGACTACCTTGTCGACTCTTTCGACAATGACGACATTACCGGGAGTGCCCGCTCCGAATCTGACAGAACCCACATGTGACTCGTATGTTGGTATTGAGATCATTTATCTCATTGAGATCACCGAAGTGTGTCCAGAGGGTGCTACTGGTAAGTCCAACAACCATATGCTGTAGCTACCCTTGCTAATTTCAGATAGTCACCGAAACCATCACAAGCTGCACCTCGACAATGACACGGCCAATCTGCGCCACGTCTACATCGGGCTACCCATGCTACCCTTGCATTATTGGCACGCCCTCCCCAGGAGAGACGGCTACTGTCACAAGAGTGAGCTGCCACATCCACACCCTGATCTCCTCGAGACTCCTGAGCTAACAACACCACACAGTCATCTTGCACATCACTCACGACCTCCACAGTCACAATCACAGGCCAGCTCTGCAGTACCTGCACAACCGTAACCCTGACCACCACTATACCAGGCTACACCCCCGGCGGAGGTTGCAAAGACTGCGAACCTTATTCATCCTCCGGCTCTCTCACCCTCCCTCTTCCGGACACCACCATCACCAACACCGTGGCTGCCACATCCACAGTCGTCATCCCCATCGCCGGTACCTGTCCAGGCGGTGCCGATTGTCCGCCTGGATCGAGTCCCCCAGCTGGGGAACCCGTCCCTGGCACAACCGTGGCACCTCCTCCACTTCCAGCTAGCCCGGTTGTGCCAATCCCCGTCCCATCAGGCGGCAATACCGTCATTCCCGGCAACCCAGGTCTTCCACCAAGCATTGCCCCTACGAACGGAGGGGAGGGTCCAGCGACATCCACCCATCCTGCCGTGGTCACTTCGAACACACCGTACAAGCCGTCCACGGTTCCGACGGCGGGTGGGAGTTCGAGAAGGGTTATCTGGGAGCTGATGGCTGGTGTTGCTGGGGCTATCGTGTATGCTATGTTGATGATTTGATGGTTTCAAATGTAGTAAGGATGGAGTTGGAAGTTGGTAATTGGTCAGTGACTATGTTGGGTTGTGTGGATGGCTTGCCTATGTATGTACTATTCACTCGAAAAGAGAAACGTAGTAACAAGTTTTGAACTAAGATGGCGTTTTATCTAGCATGATCACTCTGGAGCTTATCCGTGCCCTTCACGGGAAATATTTGGGCAAGGTGTCTTAGTTTGGGATTGTGCGAAATAGTCTAACAGCAACAATGTCTGATATATACCGCAACGAAGTGATTGTCTAGTGAAGTTTCACTAGCAGAAGTGGAAGCTCATGTCGGCAAGGTAGGCAAATTAATGTTATTCGTCCCAATTGATGCCGGTCGCACACTAATATCCCGTCCATTTACCCATAACCCTCACCCTAATCGACTCCTGACAAGTGACGGCTTTCCTAGAAGAAGTCTATCTCAGTTACCAATATTTATCATCTCGGCACGTACCTCTAGCCGGGATCCATCTGTTGGCTCTTCCCTAGCCTGCAACGCACCACCATCCCTTCCACCTCACCGATCCCGACCTTCACCTCAACACAACCACTCCACCCCTAAACTCACAAAAAGGATAGTTCCTGGCGACCAGGACGCTCTGCCCACTATCAGAATCGAACTGATGACCTTGTCATCACCTAGTTCCTACTAGTGACACGCTCTACCACTGAGCCAAGCGGGCTTCTTGTTGCGGCTGGTTCATACTCTCTGCACCTCTGATTCAACCGCCTCATCACGACATCAGGTAAAACAACTGCACAAAACGAACTGCACAAAACGAACTGTACTGGTGATCAGGACGTACTGCCTGCCCACTATCAGAATCGAACTGATGACCTTGTCATCACATTTTTGTGATTACTAGTGACACGCTCTACCACTGAGCCAAGCGGGCTTGCTTGTTGTGCCTGACTCGTGGTGGGATGCTCTTGAGTCAGGAGTGTTGAGACATACTACCAACCACAACTGGGATCTAGTATGATTGGAACAGAGAGTTATTTGAATGAATAACCGGTCAAGGACACAAAATTGGGTTCGATTTCGGGGCATGAGACTAGTATGTGGCCACGTACTCGACAAAAGGGTTTGTGCAGACACACCAGACCCATATATACACCGCACGTGTATACAGACATACACAGACATATATACACGCACATTTTGCACTCACATAGACACATATGCACTCATATACACACATACACACACATACACACACATACACACACATACACACACATGCATATACTCACATACACATAATGTACCCACATATATATCAAAGGTCGGTCCCGCCGCGTGCGCCGTGCACAAACCAATTTGCGGGATAGGTAGTGGCTTCACTCGTGGTCAGGATTGGATACAGAGTGCATTGTTTGTTGACTTGCCCCTGTTTCTCCACCAGAGGGCGAAAGCCGAAGGAGGAAGTGGATGCGTTGATTGCGATCAAGCAGCTACCGCTTGCTGTACATGACACACCCTTCATTGGTACGGTGGTTGTGGTTCCAGATGGTGATTGAGAGCGTTCAAATCATGCTATTCTAAGCACATGCTTCCCCTCGACTCCAACAATAAATGGTCTATGTGCCAGTTAACCCCTCACACCCGTCGTTACTTTTGACCCAAGTTTAGTCCTCATTACCCGCAAGCCAAGCCTGACCCTTGAGCATGTCGATAACGCTATCCCTCATCCACCATGGTTCTGCTGAAACAGGCCCTCCCTCAGTATCCCGTCGCTGGGTATCAGCGTCCGTAGACATCTCTCTTCTCTTCCCATTGGCATCTCTCACCGTCTCCTGACTAATCCCTGCCCCCGATTCCTTCCCCTCAAGGCCCAACACCTTCCTCCTCTGCTCTTCCCAGGCAAACAACAGCCTCAACCCCAGTAATCCATCCCTCCCCTTGCCTCCACCGTCTAGCACTCCCTTAAGCACCAGCCCGGCATCAACAGCCAACCCACTTCCCCCACCACCATCGTTTAGGTCCATCACTATGCCGCGTTCAGCGTACGTCAACCCCTTCAGGCCCTTCAGCTCGAACAGCCATTCCATAGACGCATCGACCCCATCGCCACTCTCCACACCCGTTGCTGTTTCGGGTGGGATATTGCCCCTGCGTCCGAGTGCTTGAACCGTTGAGGTAAAGGGTCTCTCTATCGCTGGTCTCCGCCTTAGGTAGATGCTCTGATTCTCCTTGAATGCATCGATCAATTCTGGTTTGGAAGACAGGTCGAGAGAGATATCCCAGTAGCCCAAGCCTTCGGCATCAGTGCGAATGGATTCAATATCGTCGAGAGGCGGCAGGAGACAGGGTGTTGTTTTGCATATAATTTGACCCTCTTCCTCTTTCTCACCAGCTGATGACGATAGAGGCTTGAGACGGATGATAAGAGGAGCGGACACCGGCGTACCAGACAGAACGTCTTTAGTGACCAGGCAACGATGTTCAACCGCCAGCGTCCAGAAGTGACGGAAGGCTTGGAGATGGGATTGATTGTCCTGTACCGTGGCAGGGAAAAGAGGATAGAAAGCGACCAGCAAAGCGGCGATGGCTTTATTGGACGTCCCAAAGGTCGCAGTGCCGCAGCCGAGGAAGAGAGCTCCGATTGCTAGATGAGCGGCGAGGTGGCTCCCGTACGTGGTGCTTGCATCGTCTCGTCCGTGCAAGGAGCGCAGACGACGGAGGACTTCTATATCACCCGAACCAGCCATCACCGTTGCTGCTGAGAGGGAAAGAAGGTCCAGACACATCCGCGCATTCGATCTTGCTAGCTCGGCGTCGAATGATATCGGGGTTGTGGTGGGTATCCGGACGATGCGGATGAATTGATCCAGATAGTGGATGAGGAGATCTCTCACTTCGTGATGACCCGAACCAGCAAAGCGTAGAGCGATGGCGAAGCAGATGCCCGCCAGGATCGAAAAGAAAGGGAGATCATTGGATTCTAGTTTCGTGATGGTTTTGAGACTGGCTCGCGGCCTGTATTCTGCAGGTAGACAGGCTGTGACGAATTCAAAGGTAGGTGAGATGGAATTCCACAAGACGAGGTGCTTGGCTAACGTCCGCAGGAGGAGAATGTCTGGGCGGATGTAGTCGAACTGAAGAATTGAGTCAGGCACGTCAATCTTGCGGGCCACGATGTGGTCATTGGACTTCATGAAGACGAGGGCGATGGCCATGACGGCTCCGGCGGCTGACCGGTCGAGGACGTGGACGAGCTCAACCTTCTTAGTGGCGGTTGCAATGGTGAGCAGCTTCTCTGTCAGTCGCATGTCATAGAGACCCTTGAGGTCGCCTCCTTTGCCTAGATTGATGAAGCCTAGTGCGAAGCCGGCAGCTAGACGATATCCCTCATCTCGGAGAGGGTTCTCTTCTTCGTCATCGTCGACGTGTTCGATTTCCGAGAGCATGATCTCACTCATGCGGCGGTGTTGACTGTTGCAGTAGAGGAGGCCGATGCCCATAACACCGGTTGTCTGAACATGTTTGGACAAGTTCAGTTCTGCCGCTCCTCTAGGAAGCATACGAGTAACGTGGACGGAGAGCAAGCGCGTGATGAGCGAGTCCATAGTGCCGATATAAGACGCTGCTAGGCCAAGAAGAAGACCGACCGATGTCATGGTGTGTTTGGGAGTCAGGTACTTAAACGCCACCCACTTGGCAACCGACTTAAGGTGTCCGTTCAGCCCAAGAGCCAGCAAAAACCCGGCATACCGGTTGCTGAGCTCCTGCGCGGGTCGGTTGTACAAGATCCAGGAGGTGTCGATGCCCTTGGCGTGAGGAGATATGGCGAGTCCACCAGCCACACCTTGGTGGAAGAAGGCCCAGTTGACCTTTTCCTCGGTGAACATGGACTTTTCTATTCCCACTGTGACGTTGTTGGGCTTGACAACAACACTGAGGTTGAAGCCGCCAATGTGGAATCGCTGGGTTAAGATAGGATACTTGAGAGCATAGTAAAGCAATCCGCGACCGGCAGGTATCGCAAGAGTTCCTGTGGCCACGGTGGTTGCAAGTTCCTTCTGCTTCTCCAGGTACTCGGACTCGGACCACTCAGGTCGTGCGTCTAGCTTCACGACGCGGGGTTTTTGAGTCGACAACAGGTTCTGGGCGTCGTTGAGTCTCCTGTCCTCCTTGAATAGTGCTCGTACAACAGCCTGTCTCTCCATCGCCTCGCCTTCGTCGTGAGTGGTACTGCCCACTTCATCTGTACTCTGGCACAACAATTGTACGTCCCAGGTTGCCTTGTGCGAAGAGGAGGGAACTGCGACAGAATTCCGCACATGGTCGTGCCCTTTGAACACAGAGCTTACATCGGTGCGGTTGATGAGTTCCAGCAATGGCTGAGACCAGGTTGGGGGTGGACTCGGCTGGCAGAGGAAGACTGCATCTTGTAGGGGCGCAAGTATGGCCTCGGGTAGTGTTTCGAGAACATCGGGGGTGAAGCCACACTCATATATGGCCTCAACCATCTCCCTGCTAGTCGCCCGGGGGGTCAAGAGGGTGAATAACTTGGAAAACATGAGTGTTCGCGGCGTTATGGACTGCCATGTCCGTTGGCGCGCGTGACCTGTCTGTGTGCTGTCTGTTGCAGTCTTAAACACCTGCTGCAAAGTGGGGAAGGTAGGTGTTCCGGGCCCTGCTGTTGCCCTGGTCAAGCGACATTGTATCCAGTCGTAGATGCAGTGATACGGCGATTCTGTTATTTTGTGTGTTGGGTCGCAGCTGAAAGCGGACGGCAGGGATAGGGCTACCTCCATGCCTAATTCATACGCTTCCGAGTACTTCCTCCATCCCAACCAACGGCAGACCTGTGCCATTACCACGTTGAGATATCCTTCGTTGTGTGTTACGTCGTCAGACGTCAAGACACTCAGCCTCTGTTCCTCGAGTAAGAGATGCAGGGCCATGATAATACTCCATGCCGCCATTCGGCGACCTTGGGGGGAATTTGCAACAGCAGTAGCGAAGCTGCTCTGCGATCCAAAAGCGGCCAAGCTAGAATGGGTTGCTATAAACTCGCTGGCAAGGGCGATATGAGTGGTAATGAAGGTGTCCCCGTTTTTCATTGCGAAATCCGGTTCGTTGATGTCCTCGGCAACGCCTTCCTCAAGCATCCATTCCCATCCCTTGTTGTGCATCCATGATGGACATGCTGCCGAAGCCGAGATGTCATATTCCTGCATGGCACGCCATGCGACCCCACTCGTACTCATAGACAACCTAGGCCTGTGTCCTTTTCGCTTCTTGGCAAGATCAGTAGATTTGCCCAGGACGAGGAAGTGGCCAAGCAACAATATGACAAGACTAGACCACTCCAGGTTAATGGTCTTCGGCTCCACGCCGGCTCTCCATTGCATGATGTGCCACCAGGTAGCCATCATCTTCTCAGTATGCGCTGCCGGCAGCACACTCTGACAAGCTTGCAGTACTTTGCGTACTTGGGGCGTTGACGGCTGAAGCTGGATACGCACTCGGTGGAATGTTCCCTCCGCGTCTCGAACGTCCACGATTCCATGAAGCTGGGGATTCCGCAGGCCATTAATATGGACCCCGGTACCGTTGATGCCAACCAACCTCCTACTGGCAGCATCCTCATCGGCGTATTCCCCAGCAAAATCCAAGCTGTCGAGATCTTCCTGAAATAACGCCGGGAGAGCCAGCGTGGTTAGTGGGCTCCACGGCGCCTGTAAGCTCAACTCACGCTCGCCGTGGTTGCCTTCTGAGAGAATGAGTATCATAGATTGGTCACCATCCACCACTTTGCACGAGTCAACTACGCCATTGGCCTTGCGGATGAGGCTGTACGTTATGGTGACACTGTCCGACTTGTTCTGAGCAGCACTGGTCGTGGGCGTGCCTTCACCATGCTCGACATGGAACAGCAGGAGCGAT